ATGGCGGCTTTATTGAGACCATTTTTTTATGGCAACAAGACGTCCTTTAAAAGTCATTTTGACGTCTTTTTTATGACAGGCAATACTGAAAAATCAACACTTACCTATGAAGAATATATAGGCTTTTAGTGTAAGGTAAACTAGATATCCAAATACAATAACAACTTTATTGTTATTTATAAAAAGTATCAGGAATTCTTCGACCAAAAATATCTTATTAATGTGACTTTTCCAATAATAATATTCCATGTTCAGATATTTCAAATTGACATCTTACATCATATTTTATTCCCGTAAATAGCAAATTTATTAGAAACTTCTCTGTATAATAATAAACAAGTTTTACTAAAATGTTTGCAATCAAGCACGGTCACATAGACGTCATATCGACCTCAGATAGACGTCATATCCACGACATATAGACGTCATATCGACCTTGTATTTGATCTTTTAAACGACATATAATGACGTCAATTGGGTGTGACATTAGACCGTCATAATGAAGTCATCTCTACGTCATTTTTGTTGGGCGGCGTACGTCAATAGCGCCCTAAGAATGCCAGCATTAGAACATCACTATGTTCACTCTGTAGATTTAATAATTTACATTCATTGAAAATAATTGTATAAATAAACTAGCATCTAGCTGCATCATTTCTGATATGTTAAATTAAAGGAAGAATATTTTGCAAAACTATTCTTTCGGAGCGAAAGTAAGATAAATACTTATTCACAAATAATAGAATTATTGCATAAGAAACTAAATAAGTAAACATCATAATAGGTTGTAAAGGGTAAAAAGTATAAGTAAGTACCTGTATCATATAGAAAATCAAAAAGTATAGTTTGAAAACTACTGCTTTTTTGGTTTGATAAATTGATTTACTGCTGTTATGCTTAGGGAATGTAATTATTTTTTGCTTTGATAAATTGAATTACTGCTGTTTTGCTTAGGAAATGTAATTATGAAATATTTGGTAAAGAGAGAAAATAACTATTCCATTGTCAATGATATATTTTTTATTCTAATCAATTTAAAAAAGGCAGTAAATGAACTTTACTATCTTTTACCTAAGTATGGCAGTATAGTTGTAAGTTGTAAGGATAAATTGTTTAGCGCCGCTTTCATCTGAATTGGGCATCTTCTTGTGTAATATGTTCATCAATGTAAGTTCATATATAAAAACTTACGTCTTTTTCTGGTTCTTTGACTTTAGCAGGTTTAAAACTCCTGTCAAAGGAAGGAGGTGGAGAGACATAGGTTGGCACAGCATTGTCCATCGGCTCTGGAGAATTATCTCTCCGTCTATCAGGTGACCTTGAGTAGTCTTGGTTACCCTCATTCCATTGCTCTGGAAGATAAGTTGGTTTTGATGCGCGGGCTTTTAGCAACAGCAATTCTCTGTCACCTTCCATGAGCTTTCGGATTGCCTTCAGACATAGAAAAAACAAAATAAAGGATATTTTTCTAGAGATGAGCAAACTGTTCCGCCCTTGACCCATCTGCAGATACATTCGATGAACATTATTGAAAGTAAAGCATCCGTTATACTTCGCGATGACGGATACCATACAGGACTGCCAGAGAATCAAAGCACATAACGTTAAACCATATTCAGATTATTTTATGCGGCAATCGCGCTCTGATATTGTATAAGAGTTGAAATTGTTGTTCAGCACTGGCTAATTTCGCGCGGTTAAGACGTAATCAGATACCCAAAAGAAGGTTTTAATTAACTCCAAATAAAGGTAAGGCAAAACTTTTGCGCCTAAACATCGAAATGTTTCGTTCTTTCGAGAGAAATAGAAGAAGTCTTTAGAAATGGCCATCCTTTGAACAAAATGCAACGATGAAAATATGCTCGGTGACATTAGAAGTGTGACACCCAGAAAAAAAGATTTCTTCAACTTGATGTTTGGCAATGAGGTAGTCTTACATCAAGAACGAAACAATAACATCTCGATAGGCAATAATTCTACTCCTGCCAAAGTCGCTAACATGGTGATAATTTGAACGTCTTCCAACTCGAGGCATTTTATTCTTAATACTAGTAAATGAAAGGGCAATAACTGAAAATACCTATACTACTCAGGTCTCAGAAGCTGCTTTCTTCCCAAAAACTAAGAGATAACATTTTAACAAAGGTACACAAAACTAAGATGACATTGTCGCCACAGCATGTTTTAAATACGTTATGTTGCCAGAAAGACAAGTTAAAGAAATTATTTTTTCTGGGTGTAAGACTTCTAATGTCACTGAGTAAACATACAGTAAGTGATGTTTTTTAATTTGTAAACTATATAGGTGTTGTGTTGTTTTTTCAATACGTTTCCTTGAAAATCCTTAGCAATTCCATTATTTTTTAATAAAATGAAAGTTCTAGCGTTTATGAGTATTGTTTGAAAAGTTTACAAATGTTCATTCCCTATCAGATATAATGAATAATGTGTATTATTGCCAAATTGTACGTCTTGTTGGGGAAAATGCTGAGATAACTAGATTATATCAGAATATTTACTGAAAATTAGATGAAATCCCGAACAGTAAGCCTAAACAAACGGCGCCGCGACTTCCATGGAGGAAAAGTATTAGCTGAAAATGAAGAAATTCCGAACTGTTACGGCTTGGTCTCACGGTCAACGAACGAAAGCTTAGCAACTATGTGTGCGATCTATCGAAATAAGGCAGGGCGAAGCGCCATCTACCACAGGAATCGATCACTGAGAATAGTGAATGGCAGCAATCGGTTGGGACTAGTGGCGTGTAGTTCTCGAGCGAATCGAAGCAGCTATCCATCCAAATACTAACCGCGCCAGAAGCTGCTTAGCCCCATATAACTGGTTGAAAGCCTCTATCAGTAGTTCAAACGCACGTTAATCGCCGTTGTCGCTTAATATATGAGCAATGCCAGATATACCCCGAAATGATTAAATGTCTGATCCGGTTAGTAGACTGGTTTGCTTCATCATGACAAAGAATCTGTATTCACAATTAGTGGGGATATCATTGAGCAGCAGTACTAACATCCTTTTGTAGCGGAAAATGTCAAAAATGAAGAAAATCAACATCTTAGTATCGGACAAAATTAATTATACCTTTTATGGAATGCAAAATATATTGAATTTTTGTAATTGAGCTAAAAGATTTATGTCATTAAGTAGTCTCAAATGATACTAAAATAAATTCATAAACGTTGTTTCCAAAGATTTATTAGAGAAAACAAAAAAAAAATATAAAAAACTATATGCGACAAAATTAGAAAGACTTATCCTTGAAATACATTTGTATCCTATATTAATGAAACTAAACTAATACTTCGTCCAGTACCCTTTGTTCTCAATTACTTTTTGACATATGTATATTTGGCATCGACCCAATGAGATTGGAAATTATAGCTGGATCCATTAGTTTCCAAGCATTATCAATCTCTTTAAATAACTGAGCACGATTGCTGATAATTTTGGTTCGAATCTGTTTCTCAATTATCTCCCAAAGATTTTCAGTGGGGTTCAAGTCCGGTGATTGCAGTGGCCATTTTAAAACTTGAATTTTATTTGCCCCAAACCATTCCTTCACAAGTTTGGCAGTATGTTTGGTGTCATTATCATGTTGGAATGTAAACTTTAGCGGCATTTCCCATTCGGCGTAGAGCATCCATGGTGCCCTCAATTTTCAAGTCTTTTATTTGCTGGACGATTTACGAACTGCACTCCGTCACTTCCAAAAATATGAAACTTAGACTCGTCACTAAACAAAACCTTGTTCCAGTCCTTAGCTATCCAGTGGCATTGACGTGGTGCAAACATCATCCTAGCAATCACATTTTTTTTATAAATGGAGTTTTCTAGCTGGTCTCCTTGCAGGGAGCCCCGCCTGCACTAATCGCCGCTGAACAGTGTTAGATGAAACTCCCGGAACATCCATCTGAGCCAAAATTTGATTGGCAGATAGCCATGACTTAAACGCTTAATTCTCCTAACCAACTGTGTTGAAGTTTTTTTCTCTTCCGACTACCTCTCTGAAGGTTAACAACCAATATTTTGTATTGTTCTTGCAACCATTTGTTTATTTACATGAAATTGCTCTTTTATTAATTTTTGCGATCTGATTTATAAGCTTCAAAAATGTTTTCTTTTAAATCTACGCAATAATGTTTTCCCCTATGCATTGCTAATAATTTTCTCTGTTGTTTCAATCCAACACTTGACCAACTACACTTTAGCGAAACTAAATACAAAACGAGTCGCTCTAATTTTGTCGCAGGTATTTCTTTATTAACCCTTTGAGCCCGAAATTAATTAAAATTCACAAACTCCTAAAATTTATTGAACAATGAGTTAAAAATAGTACAAATAAACCTCTAAAACAAAGTACTCTCAAATAAACATGTGTAGCTATCCTTCAGGACGTGGTCACCAACGCTAACCACCAGGAACTAAGGTACACTTCCAAAAAAGAATTAAAAAAAGTTATCTTTTGTGAAACAGTGAGAAGCAGTTTCTATCTTTATTCAAGCATAATCCCACATGACACGTCGAACACTTCCATATAGTTCTATGTGGATTATCAAGTGTACTGCAGTGGGAGTATCTAAGAGATGTTGATCTTTCAGGCATGTGAGAAGCCTTACAGTATCGTACTTCATAGGGTACCACCTTCTTGAATCTATTTACAGTAGGTGCAAAAGATGGTCTTCCTCATTTAGTGGGTCCTATTACTCCAATGAGACCTCGTGCCAAAGACAGTCGAATTTTTTTCAGAGTTAATCCCTTAGAGTTACTTCTTAGCTGGAAGAGTATAAAACTGTTTACAACGCAAGCATCTAGGAAGTAGAATAGAATTCTATGCCACCACTTATGTGCTTTCCTGTTAACTTCATAGAGACTTTTCAACATATCAAAGCGATCCACATAGCCCATATGGGCATTGTATTCACAAACCATCTGGGGACATGGTATATCCTCTGGAGAGCCGTCTTTTCTTTTTCTAGATGCTGTATCTAAAACAGAGGATCATTGTGATTTCCCAACATAAGTATGCTACGCCGGTCTACCCATTTCAGGGCAACTAAACCATCTTTGGAAATATGCCAATCGGCTTCACCACGTTTCATATCCTTGTCTGACTTGAATTCAGGACAGTGCTTTCTACCCTTTCGTAAGGTACCACAGGAGTATATTTTATTGTTGATCAACTGTCTTTGTAACTCGACAGAATTGAAAAAGTTTTCAAAGTAAATCTTGTGGTTTTTTCCAACCAAGTTTCTACTTAGATCTATAACAACTCTCTCTCCTAATTTCTTTTCTGGAGCGTGATCCACCTTGCCGGTATAGATTTGAAATTCACACATGTATCCACTGGAATCTGCTCTGACCCAAACCTTATAACCGCGCTTTATAGGTTTCATTGGCATGTACTGTCTGATACTGCTGCGGCCTTTGAACCGTATCATTGATTCATCTACTGACTGAAACTCATTTGGCTTTAGTGAAGAAAGAAATGTCTCTTGTAATCTGGAAAAAAGTGGCCTCACTTTATAAAGTTTGTCATATGGTGACTGATCCTTTTTGGGCTGTACGGAATTATCATTGAGGTGAATATTACTTAGTAACCATGCGAAACGGTCTCTGGAAATACAGCCACTAATAAATGAGTCTCTGAGCACTTCATCTGACGACCAGTAATCTTTATAAACTGGGTAGCCTTTTTACACCCATCAGCAAATTTACAGCGAAGAAAACTTTGATTTCATTCTTCGTTGTAGGAACGAAGTTTCTTCCATCGCCAAATTTCTGTACACAATATAAGTTTGTTTGAAAAACAATATGGTCGGTGAGGTCTTCAGGAAATAGGTGCAAAAAAAACGTCCGTAGGTGTTTCAATGATATCAGGCAAATTAGGGCCAGCCTCTTCTTCAAATTTGCTTGGTTGGTTGATGTATACTGTATCTTTGGTCCAGTAGCAAGGCAGAAATATATCATTTCTTCTAGCTAGTGGAATATCATCGTCACTTTCCCACTGCGCATTGTCTAAAGAGCAGTTTCATCTTCGATCAAGTCCTCAAAAATGACATCCATATTCCGAAGATTGAAAAGATCATTATTTAGGTCAGCATTTTCTTGAGTAATGGGTATTTCATCACTCATAACAGCGTCCAGATCATCTAGTACTGACTCATTATCACTAGGTACCTCGTCTACATCCTCTACAATTTTATAAATATCAGCTAGGCTCATACTTTCCAATTCAGCGATCGACCATTTTTTGTTCGCTGAAAAGAATGGGTCACGTAAATGAAACCAGGAAATATTAGTTGACATTAAAAATTGTCACAAAGTTACACATAAATAACTTTTGTCAAAAAACAAAAGTTGGGTACTTTCCTAGTGGTTACTACACAAAACCACCGTAAATAATGTGATATTTTGCGAATCAGAAATCAGATGCGTGCAAAATTCGACCATAATAAGCCATATACACAGATTATTTGTACTTACCAGCCATTTTTATACACTTTTTCACCAAAGAACTACTAATTGATCTATAAAATCTTCACCCTGTACTAGGTGTTAACCTACTTGGACATTTGACGTTATACGAAGCAGGAATACGCACCAAATATAAGTTTATTTCGTTTGTTTCCGCTGAATAGAGGTTCAGCATGCATTAGGCAAGACGTTACACACTATGGTTAGCCAGGGATACCGCTAGGAAAATAGCAAAATGAGCTTTGAAAGATGGTTTTTGGTGCTAACCAGTGGGGCTCAAAGGGTTAATACAAAAAACACTAACATGAACATACCATCAGGTATAAAAATAAACTGTTGATAATGAAATTCTTTTGGTAGCCGGTAATACAATGCTTAGCAAAATTTAATATTATTTTAAGTATAGAAAACTGGAATGGACTAATAGTACAGTATCTCTTATTAAATAAACAGAAAACGTAAATACACCGAAATTTCACTATGATAGTAAACAAACTATCATTGTAGGAGAACATTTGGGGAAAAACGAGACATAACGGTTAAAGAAAGACCATTTTCCTGAACGGAGAACATCTGGCAATCCCGATGAAAGGTATATATTATTCGTTAAAAATCTTGGGAACTGGTAAAAAAAAACAAAAGCGTATCTTAAGATTATTAGAAAACGTCTAAATCTCATAGCTACTAAGTGACAAGTTACACTGGGAATTTAAATTTGAAACGTCCATCTTAATAAAAAACTGAAAAACCAAAAATTCAACAATTTTCCGGCACGGTTATACTAATCGCGCAGACGCAGCTTAACTCCGACAACTGTTAGCCTTACAGGTAAGGGCGGGCATCAGTGGCGAAGCGTCCATGTAACCATTAACCATAAAAATCTAAAAAATAAATATTTTATGACCAAGTGCTGTGAAATAATTTCATTTATTTGATTACCGACAGCGATATGTAATAGTAATTCAGTAAATAGCAACTTAGCCCCACGAAAATAATGCGCCCTATAGTGTCTAGGTTTGCGAATACGATGAAGCTGACTCGCCCCGACTTGGTTGTCGGTTGTTACCATTTTCATTTATGGATACACTTGGTAGTCTGTCGGGGATCGTCGGTTCCGGCTCGTGTCTGATCGCGGTCACCCGAGCGCGTGGGGCGCTGCGACTATTATGTGGGCTTGTTACCATTTTTTGATTTGATTACTCACTTCTCACTCGTTAGTAGCCGTTTTGGTTACCGGTTGTAGTGTGCGTGCAATTAAACAAGGATGAGTGTCGCTGCGTAATCGATCAACTACTTGAAAAGTCATTCTCCTTGTATAATTTTAAGAAGAAAAAGGAGATCATTGAAGATGGAAGACCAACACCTATTTTAGATAATTTTAAAAAGCAATAAAAAAACGTAGTTTGATATTTTAAATTAAGTTGGTATATGGAAACTCTTGGTTATGTGGTTGCAAAAAAACAGATTTATGTTGGCGATGTGATCTGTTTTATACAGAAAAAAATGGGTGGACCAGCAGCGGAGTCAACAATTTAAATAATTTTAGAGCTCTAAAGGGGAGACATGAAATTTCTCCTATACATGTGAGATGTGTAGCCAATTTAATTCAGTTTGGCAAAACAAGAATCGAAAGTTGTCTTAACCAAGCTTTTAGGCAGCACACTTCTAGATACCGCATGTTTTTAGCAAAACAGAAATCACCGTTCATTTGAAGGGGATGACTCTGACAATAGAGGAAATTACAGGCAAAACAGATAAAAAAATTGCCGAAGATCTAGAAACGTCGACTGTTTTTTCGGACGGCTTGGATTAGTCATAGCAATGAGGTATATCAAATGAACCAGACGCTCAGTCCAGGACTGTTTACCTTAATTTAAAAAATAGTTCAAATAAAATATCTAAGATAAGCAAAAACTTATATTTGGGAGGTTCAAAATAAACTTTTTAATACGATTTTTCACATCTGGTTTTTGGTAACCCTTTAGGAAAAGTCACGCGTCGCCCACTGGCGGGCATTATTTCATTAAGCAATAATAAATGAATAAATTACCTCGCGTTCCTCAACCGACATATCTTGCGGCTTCATGAAGTCCGTCGAAGCTGCAGGGTTAATGTTTCCTTTGTTGTATTCCATTGGAAATCGATGCTCGGAAATGCTCGTGTAAGTGCCACTAGATACACCTGGCTCCTTGGCAAAGTACGAATTTTTCGGCAATGCCCCTTCTGAACGTATATTACGCAATTTAAGCGCTACTTCATGGTCTTC